ATTGGATGCTGGAATTATTATGTTTCTGTTTGTGAGATCTGAAGATCAATTTGCTGATGCTCTTACTAAGGCTGTGTCTAATAGTGTGTTTTCCAACTCGCTTGACAAGTTGGGCATGCGTGACATCTTTGCACCAACTTGAGGGGGAGTGTTGCGAGTTATATATTAGTTAAAGTGTAAATAGTAGTTTATTGTCCCACATTGGTGAAGTAAATATGTAATACCAATTGTAACTCCTTTATATACTCCACTTTGGAGATTAATGAATATATAAGAAATTCCCAAATATTGTCATATATATTTTTGGTATTTACCATGTTTTGTTTAATATTGGTATTTACCATGTTTAGTTCGATAGTATTGTCATATTTGACTCGAGATTAATTGCTAATGAATCTTATGTGATTAAGCTTCCAGGACCTTGTTTTAATAAAATTTGTTTTCACCATTGACGATGCATTACAACTGAAAATGTTTGCTTAGAAGATCGTTTGCCTTTCCTAATATTTTATTCGAGGATGATAGGATTATAGTTGAAACGTCTATTACTGTTATAGTTTTGTTTTTTGTACATAGTTTAGGCCCATATTCTACGTAAACAATCCCTAATTCTCGAGGCACACGGATTCTACCAAACCGAAACAAAAACTAGGAAAGATTACTAGTAAGATACACAAAGGCCAAGTGCACGTAGCCCGGGGGAAAGTGGGAGGCATGCGCATAGCGTTGTAGAATCATTGACAGACCAACCTTGACTTGAGTGATTTATAAAATCAACGGTTGACATTATTTAAAAATGCCTCGGTATTTAAAATGGGTGCGCGACCATTGCAGATTTTCTTGCCCAATTCTTGTGTCTATGATGCACATCTTACTTTAAATCCTAAACACGTACAAACGACAATCTCATAATTTCCACAGTAAAAGGATTCAGATTTTTCACATTCACTAGTTCAATAACACGGAACTGATGACGTTTATATGAGGAAGACAGGGTTGTATTGTACAGACTTGTAGTTGAGATGTCTACATTAATGCTTAGTTTTTATATAGGTTGTTTGCCGGCCCCTTCCATATTCCACATAAACAATTCCTAATCATCGGCCGGGTACGTTTGCATTTTCTTGATGGATTCTTTATAACAAACCCAAAAAAAGAAAGAAAATTTTGTGACAGATTCTGCCAAAGTAAGCAGAATAATAGCTTGAAAAAGTTGAAATGATAATTGACTAATACAAACAATCAGTAGTTGATCAGTTGATACTTTGCAAGATTTACGCAAGACATTCACCTTTGCAGTTCAAAGTGGGTGAAGCAGTACCTGAATTCCGTGTTGTGGACGAACTGTCACATTCCGTGTTGTGGACGAACTGTCACATAATGAATGGGCAAGTGGACATAACCTGGGGATAGAGCCAATGAGTAGCATTGTAGAATCATTGACATGCTATGCGATGGTAGTCTCCCTTACTTTTTATTTAGTAATAGACCCACCTTGCTATAAGGTTTAGGAAGTTTTAACAAAACATTCTCAATACTGTTCACTTTTAACGAAAAACTACATTTATATATTTCCCTGGTACTATTCAATATACTTTTAAAAATAACTTTTCATTAAAAATAAAGTTTTTTTGAATTTTTCGTTAGTTTTCCTTAAAGTTTATGGCCTATCCTAAAATTAGTTGGGTTGATAATTTTCCTTAAAACCCATGTCTACCTTGAGATTAATTTAATGACATGCTCTATGCGATTAAGATTTTGATGCATTACAACTGAAAATATTTGCTTAACAGATCACTTTCTCCTAATATTTTAGTAATTATGTCCATATTCTAAGTAAACAATTCCTAATCATGTATTTATTCTCATTTTCTCGAGGCACACGGATTCTTTCTACTTTCTACCAAACCAAAACAAAAACTAGGAAAGAGTACTAGTACGATACACAAAGGCCAAGCGTAGCCCCGCGGCGCCCTGGGCGGGGGGGGGGGGGTGAAGTGTGAGGCATACGGGTAGAATCATTGACAGACCAACCTTAACTTGAGTGGTTTATAAAATGAACCGTTGACGTGCCTTGAAAATGCCTCGGCCTTTGGCAAGGATTCACAACTAGTGCAAATTTTCTTGCCAAATTCTGGTATTTGTAATGCAAATCTTACTCTCAAGCCTAAACATGTACGAACGAAAACCATAATTTCCACAATAAAAGGAGTCAGATTTTCACATTCACTGGTTCAATAACACATATTGGACGGTGATTATCCGAGAGTGCTGCCAAAGTAAGCAGAAAAGTAGCTTGAAAAAGTTGAAATGATAATTGACATACATAAAATCAGTGGTTGATCAGATGATATAAATTTTGCAAGATTTAAGCACCAAATTCACCTTTGCAGTTCAAAGTGAGTGAAGCATTACCTGAACTCCGTGTTGTGGACGAACTGTCACATACTGAGTGGGCAAGTGAACATAACCTGGGGATAAAGTGAAGGAGTAGCGTTGTAGAATCATTGACAGAACAATCTTTGCTTCATTGATTGCAAAGTTTAAGCCCACACAACTTCGAGGTCCTATTCCAAACGGCACAAATACACCTATATTATTGTTCGTTGCTTTAGCAATCCCTTCCGCAAATCTCTCTGGTTTGAAAAGTTGTGTGTCCTCTCCCCAGATTCGAGGATCATGGTGAAATGATAGATTTGAGACAATTAATTCAACATTAGCAGGAACAGTAACATTTCCCAGTCTAACTTCCCTTTCAACTTTCCTTCCAAAACTAGCAACAGGGGGATATAAGCGTAGAGATTCATTCAAGATCATACTCATCTGCGCGAACACGAACACGAAAAGTAGATACCAAATCAAGATTACTTCCAATTTTAATTCAAGCTTAATTTTGCCGCTTAAGACAAGCAATAGTTAGCGGTGACTTTCTTACTGTTTTCATTTTGGCGATGCCATCGAGATTTGGAGCTTGTTTGCCGAATAATTCTATGACCTCCTTTCTTGCTTCATCTTGCCAATTCGTATGGAGTGCTAGAAGAAAGACGGTCCAACCAAGCGAAGTATTTGTGGTTTCTTGTCCAGCAAAATAAAAAGTCTTGCACTCGTCAACCAAATCATCCACCGAAATCCTCTGGTCGTCACTGGCATCATGATGAGCCTTCAAAAGTAATCCAAAAAAATCACTCCCAAAGCTGGCTTCTTCTCCACTTATTACCGTCTTTTGTCTTTTATTAGCGATATCCATTATGGAGGCATATACACCTTTTACAAGTTTGTCTGCTTCGATCTCATCACTAGTTTTGAAAAATTTACTGCAACATTAAGCGAAAGGACTAATAACCATGAGAACACAAGTAACACTCCAAGAAAATCTTGTGGAATGAACTGAGATTACCTGATGCCAGGAATCCCGACTGTGAGGGCGTTTTTAGAAACTAGGAAGGCTAACTTCATCAACATCTCAAAAATGTTCTGTCCTTCTAAATAGCTGCTGCCAAATGCTGTTCTCGAAATCACTTCTGAAGTGAACAACCTGAACTCTTCAAACATCTCAATTTCTTTTTCTTCATTATTTCTCCACCTTTCAAGCATAGTCTCAGCACTAGCTACCATATCTGGAAACATAATCTAGAAAATAATACTGTCATGCTATCAACAAATTTAGCTTCTGCAATATTTACCACAGTAACTATAAAAAAACTTACTTTTAAGCATTCTCCATGGAAGGCATGGGTAGCAAGCTTTCGCAATTTTCCCCATTTTTCAGATTCGGTTGTTGTCACAAGGCCGTCTCCTAATAGCTTCTTCACAAAGGTAGTGGGATCTCTTTTCGGATAAGCTTTATCTTTGTTACTCATTATCTCTTTGCATAACTCAGGTTCCGTAATGACCAATTGAGCAAGAGAACCATGCCACTGAAGATAATTCTTCCCTACAATTTCATGCAAAAATGACCAAAATTTAGGTTGGAACGAATTTAAAAAACGACATTTAACTAAAAGAGAGATATATATAGCTCGTTACCATATATCTGTGACCAGGAGTGTATGTGAGGTACAACTACAGAAAATATGTCGTGCGATAAATTCTTGGGTCTGCGCATGACTTCCTTTTTCATGTCGGAGATTTCTTTGGTGTTTCCATGGATAAGTCTGTAAGGAGGGCCTTTGATCCCCTGCGCTTTCATCATCTTCTGTATGCGTGTAGGAGTCCACCATAGTTTGTGTACAATCTTGATGAGAACAAAGACAAGAAATACACACAGAAAGCTTGAAAGAATAACTACTATGCCTCCCAAAGAACTCATTTTTTGGTACTGATCGGATTTTCAACTGTCCGGAGTCTAAAGTTTCCTTATTTTTGTCCTCTAGACAAATAATCCTTCTAGAGCACCTAAACGTGTTACTTTCACAACAAAATGTATCCACCCTTTTATATATGATTGGATGGGCCGTTTGGGAATTTTAGTGGGCGTTGAGCTGACATGGCAAAGCTTCATTGGTTAGAGCGAAGCTGCAAGGTGCTCTTCCTACGCATCCAAGTACGAAATCTCATTTTCACAATTTTATTTTTATACTAAGGGGATTAGAGAATAAATTGGGTATGAACTCACAATTTTTGAAATTCGAACTTGTCATTTCACTTACAAGTGAAAATGAATACTAATAAACTGTAGTACTAAACGGTCTTAAGGTGTAATAATAATGAAGGTTTTTTGTTTTCCAAACGTTTAAGATTTTAAGAAAGGCAAATACTAAGAATTATGTAACATCCCACATCACTCAGATGAGTGATCCTTAAATGTATATTCTCATCCCTACCTAGCACGAGGCCTTTTGGGAGCTCACTGGCTTCGGGTTTCGTAGGAACTCCGAAGTTAAGCGAGAAAGGGGCCAAAGCACTCCCAGGATGGGTAACCTATTGGGAAGTTGCTCGTGAGTTCCCAGAAACAAAACCGTGAGGGCGTGGTCGGGGCCCAAAGCGGATAATATCGTGCTATGGTGGTGGAGTGGGCCCGGGTAGTGATCCGTCCTGGGTCGGGATGTGACAAATTATGCATGGTTCTAAAAGATGTTAAGTGCTAATCGAACGGTGGGCTGAAGCCTAAACAGATTAGACGGATTTAAGTAAATTTATTATATATCATATAAATAAATATCTATTTACACTTAAAAAAAAAAACTATACTTATATTATATTAGAAATTTAAAAACGATAAAATAAAATAAAAAAATATATATATAAATATAAATACTACTTATACATAATAAAGTGGAGTCATTCAGTGCTACAGTCTGATGGTATTCCTCTTCACTTGGAAGTGAGAGGTCATATGTTCGAATCTCGTGGATGACGAATTTGATACCAAATTAGGCTATCTATTGTGCGGTTTAGCCGAACTCCCCATGCCCTTAGTGTAAAAATATCAATGTATTAAAAAAAAAAAACTGAAACAGAACTCCCCTCTCTTTAATATAAAAATATCGATGTACTGAAAAATAAAATAATAAAATAATAAAATGGAGCAGTTATTGTTTACCCCAATTAAAAATATGAGCTACTTTATACTCAATAAATTGGGCCAGTCCATTTCCTCTTTCGTTTTTCACGATGATTTCTCCTCTCTCCCCCACCTCTCTCTCTCCATCTCTCTTCTGCATGCAAGCATCAGACGATTCAAGCCATATTTCTCAGTATTCTCTCTCACAATCTGGGCTTAAATTTTACATCCCATGGCTAGGCCGGACTAAATTCTTACATATTCTCCATCTCCAGGAGTAGGATTTTACCAAGTAAAAATCATTCTTCTTTATTCTGTTCTTTTTTCATTTGTTTGATCATTTATATGAAACTGATGGGGTGTTAATAATGGATCCTACGCAGAGGGAAGCTTAAGTGGCGGAATTAACCAAGAGGGTATTGATCACTACAATTGCTTGATCGATGAACTAATAAAAAATGGTGAGACAGCTACCAGTTTTTCTGTACTTAGATAGTTGAATTAGGTATGTGTTCGGTTTAATGTATTTTCTGCATTCTAACGCAGGCATCACACCTTTCGTGACGATTTATCGCTTTGACATGCCGCTAGCCCTGGAAGAGAAGTATGGAGGCTTACTAAATCGCTCATTCGTGTAAGGCTTTTTCGAAAACCATTTTGCACGCATATATCATTTTGTGAACATGAATTGAAAAATATGAACTTCATAAGATAAATAAAGAATATAATATCAATCTCATAATGTATAATAATGATATGGTCGATTTTCCAGGAATGACTTTAGTGTTAAAAGTTAATGCTTTACTTAAACTGATTCTGTGTAAAAGGGCTGACTGTTGCCTTTATCAGTCGACCCATTCTATTTATCAATCGACCCAATTACTCCAGTCGGCTTATATATTGAGCCATATATATATATTAGAAATATCTTAATGAAAATATCAGATCTCTGTTTTAAGAAAAAGCATCAGGCCTCTGTTTCCAAAGCTTTCTACACTCTGTTTCTTTGATTTTCAATCTTTATCATTTTATTCAAGTTTTATTAATGATGAAAGATTGTCTAAATACCAACATGGTCTCAGAGCAAATCTGATCAAAGAGTGGGCCGTGGGAAAATTCTAAGTGAAACCCTAGAATAAAAGATTTTCAAATTCATGGCTGGTTCAAGTAGCAGTGGAGAGATTCGAACTCCTATCTTTAATGGAGTGAATTATGACTTCTGGAGGACAAAGTTGAGAATAATTTTTGTATCTCATGATTTGTGGAGCTTGATTGAAGATGGCTATGTGGTACCCCTAAGTACTGAAGTTCTGACAGAGACTCAAACAAAAGTAGCTGAAGGAAAACATCAAGAGAGAAGCAAAAGCTCTTGGGGTCATCCAAAATGATATCTCAGATGAAATTTTTCCGAGAATCTCGAATGAGACAAGTGCCAAATCAGCTTGGGATATACTGGTGAAATTCTACAGATGCTCTACTAAGGTAAGGGCTGTCAAACTCCAATCTTTGAGAAGAGATTTTGAGTATATAAGAATGAAAGATGATGAATTGCTAGATGATTACCTGAGTAGATTGTCTGAGATTATTAATCAAATGAAAAGCTATGGTGAAATCTTGTCTGATGAGAGAATAGTTCAGAAGTATCTAATTAGCTTGCCAAGAAAGTATGACAACATAGTTTCAATCATAGAGGAGACTAAGGATTTGTCAACTTTGAGTGTTGAAGAATCGATTGGTTCTCTCAAAGGTTTTGCTCAGAGACTATCTAGGCATGACAACAATGATGTAGAAAAAGCTTTCCAAACACTTACAGTGAATCCAAAAACTCAAGCTAGTTCAAGTCAAAGCAAAGCCAAGTCCAACCAGAATTAGAAAGGCAAAAACAAAGTGTGGGAAGGAAAGGGTAATTTTGAAGAGAAGAAAAAGTTTGAGAAGAGTTTGTATGTTTCGAAGTGCAAAATTTGTGACAAAGCTCATTCCGGTGAATGTTGGTTCAAAGGAAAAGTGAAATGCCACAAGTGTAGTAGATTCGGGCATATGCAAAAGGATTGTACCTACAAAGATAATCAACTAGCTCACTACACCAAAGTAGAAGATGAAGAGACCAATATGTTTTATGTTGGTCATGATACAACCGTCCAAGAAGAAGCTAAAGTTTGGTTTGTGGACAGCGGCTGTAGCAATCATATGACTGCGAATAAGAACATTCTCCATAATGTTGACACTATAAACCTAACCCGAGTGAAGATGGGAAATGGGCAGCTAGTCGATACATTGGGAAGAGGTACTATTGCCGTGCATACGAAGAATGGAAAGATGTTCATCAAGGATGTCATGTTAGTTCCTGATTTGAAGCAAAATTTGCTAAGTCTTGGACAACTCTTTGAGCATGGCTACTACTTATATTTTGGAGACAATACTTACAAGATATATGATAGGAGGAATCGTTAACAACTCTTGGCTAAGATTGAGATGAGGAAGAGTAGAAGTTTTCCTCTCACAATTGAGTATGCAACTCAATCTGCATTCAAGATGGAAGTGCAAGAAGATTCAAAGCTATGGCATAAAAGGCTTGGCCACTTGAATTTTCAAAGTCTCAAGAAGCTACAAGAAAAAGAAATGGTGCATGGGTTGCCAAGTATCCAAGAAAATGAAGAAATCTGTGAAGGGTGTGCACTTGGGAAGCATCATAGAGATTCATTTCCACATGGTAAAGCTTGGAGAGCAAAAGCTCCATTGGAATTGATTCATACAGATGTTTGCGGACCCATGAAGACTTCTACTCAAGTGGGAAACAAGTATTTCCTAATCTTCATGGATGATTATTCTAGAATGACTTGGGTATACTTTCTAAGACAGAAATCAGAAGTGTTCTCAATCTTCAAGAAGTTTCAAGCTATGGTTGAGCGACAATCTGGGTATCTAATCAAAGTTCTTAGAAGTGATAGAGGAGGAGAGTACACATCCACAGAATTTGATAAGTTTTGTCAAGATATTGGCTTGGAAAGACAACTTACTGTCAGCTACACTCCACAACAAAATGGAGTAGCTGAGAGAAAAAACAGAACCATAGTCGAAATGGCTAAGGCAATGTTGCATGACAAGGGAATACCTCAATATTTGTAGGGTGAGGCAGTTAATACAGTGGTCTACTTGATGAATAGGCATCCAACAGTGGCAGTTGAAGGTAAGACACCATTTGAGGCATGGAGTGGAAGAAGGCCATCCGTGAATCATTTGAGAGTGTTTGGGTCAATCTGCTTTGCTTATGTTCCGAAAGAACTAAGACAAAAACTTGATGAGTCAAGTGAAAGATGCATTTTCGTAGGCTATGCTTCATACACAAAAGGGTACAGACTCTACAATTTAAAAAAGAAGAAAGTTGTGGTTTGTAGAGATGTTCTTTTTAGTGAGAAATCTTCGTGGGTGGAATCAAGCAACCATCCGAGAGGAATCTGCACTAATTAGAATTGAAGAAGAAAATCAACCAAATGAGGAAGAAATTGAGCCAAAAATTCCACAATTATCACCTGAAAATAGTCATCAAGTTCACTCTCCTACACCTTCGAGTCCAAGTTCAACACCAGTTCGGTTAAGGAGCTTAAATGAAGTCTATGAAAGCTGCAATTTTTGTGTTGAAGAACCAGAAAACTTTGATGATGCAGTGAAAGAAGAGACATGGAAGGCTGCAATGCAAGAGGAGATCAATGTCATTGTGAAAAACAAGACATGGGAACTAGTGGACAGACCTTGTGACAACTCCGTCATTTGAGTGAAATGGATTTATAAGACTAAGCTCAATCAAGATGGTTCCGTTTAAAGGAACAAAGCTAGATTGGTAGCAAAAGGTTATTCTCAGAAACCCGGGTTTGATTTCCAAGAAACATTTGCACCGGTAGTTAGGCATGAAACAATCAGAGGCCTTATTTCCGTAGCTGTTCAGAATGGGTGGTTTCTACACCAACTTGATGTCAAGTCAGCTTTCCTAAATGGAGTCCTAAAAGAAGAGGTGTTCGTTGATCAACCTCAAGGATTTGTTCTCAAAGGACAAGAGCACAAGGTGTATAAGCTTAAGAAGGCACTTTATGGCCTGAAACAAGCTCCAAAAGCATGGTATGGAGAGATCGACTCATATTTCAATGAAAGAGGTTTTCAAAGAAGTGAGAATGAACCTGCCCTCTATGTCAAAACTGAAGCGACTAGACCCGATATTATGTATGCTGCAAGCTTGTTGTCCAGATTTATGCACAAGCCTACTTGCATTCACTATGGAGCTGCAAAGAGGATCCTAAGATACATACAAGGTACACTTGACTTTGGTATTATGTATGAAAGGAATGTTAAGCCCAAATTGTATGGGTTCTGTGATAGTGACTGGGGAGGTAATGTGGATGACTTGAAAAGCACATCTGGCTATACTTTTACACTAGGGACTGGTGTATTCTCTTGGGCATCTAAGAAACATAAATCAGTTGCACTATCAACGGCAGAGGCTGAGTATGTGTCGACTTCAATTGCAACTTCTCAAGCAGTGTGGCTGAGAAGAATTATGCAAGATTTTGGTGAGAAACAAGAATCAGCAACTCATATCCTTTGTGACAATAAGTCAGCTATTGCCATGAGCAAGAATCCTATCTGTCATGGTAAATCAAAGCATATTGCTCTGAAGCATCACTACATCAGAGGTGGTGTGGAAGACAAGGAAGTGGATGTGGTCTACTGCAAGACAGAAGATCAAGTTGCTGATATCTTCACCAAGGCATTACCAAAGGACAGATTCATCTACCTAAGAGAACTTTTGGGAATGAAGCAGCAAAGCATTAAGAGGGAGTGTTAAAAGTTAATGCTTTACTTAAACTGATTCTGTGTAAAAGGGCTGATTGTTGCCTTTATCAGTCGACCCATTCTATTTATCAGTCAACCCAATTACTTCAGTCGGCTTATGTATTGAGCCATATATATATATATATCAAAAATATCTGAATGAAAATATCAGATCTATATTTTAAGAAAAAGCATCAGCCCTCTGTTTCCAAAGCTCTCTGCACTCTGTTTCTTTGATTTTCAATCTTTATCATTTTATTCAAGTTTTATTAATGATGAAAGATTGTCTAAATACCAACATTTAGAGACTATAGCGATCTTTTATTCAAAAAATTTGGAGACAGAGTTAAACATTGGTTCACAATTAATGAGCCAAACGTTCTTGCTCAATATGGTTATGAACTTGGGATTTCCCCACCAGGGAGGTGTTCACTTCCATCAACCCCTTGTGCATTAGGGCCTCCTTTGAAATGTTGGGAAACCGTCAGTCCATGCAAGTTTGGTGGTAACTCGTCAACAGAACCTTACCTTGCAGCCCATAACATAATCATTGCCCATGCCACTATGGCTAAGCTCTACAGAGAAAAATATCAAGTGAGAAACTCGAGGAAATTCATACGAATTCAACTGTTTCAACTCTTTTAATCTTATTACTAAAATTTAGTTTGAATGTCATCTTTTAGGAACAACAAAAGGGTGAAGTTGGAATCGTCCTTGTTTCACAATATTTTTTGCCATATACACAATCAGAAGAAGATAAAACCGCAGCAGGAAGACTTTTTGACTTCTACCTTGGATGGTGAGTAGAAGCCATCAATACCATGATTAGACCTGTAAACGGATCAGGTTTATTGGGTTTGGGTCGGGTCCAATCCGACCTATTAATTTAACGGATCACCCAAATCCAACCCGTTAAGCTAACGGGTCATTCAAACTCAACTCGTTAAGTTAACGGATCACCCGTTTCACCAGTTAACTATTTTTTTTACCAGGTTAACAAACAAACAAATAAAAAATGCAATTAAGCTTAAACAAAAACAAAACTTTGATTCAAGAACAAAATCAACATACAACAATTAATTTGGATAAGCTTGGACGAATGCAATTAAGCCGGCGCTGGACAAAACAACCTTTGGCAATTCCTCTTCTCCCTTTGCAAATTTCACCCCTTCTAGTGGAGTGGGTGTTCGGGATTTCTAAGAATTGCAGACGCTATGGGATGTCAAAAGCTGAGTTGAGAATTGCAGGCGCAGCAAAGGTGAGCGCGAGGGATTGAATCTGAGAGATGTCTCTTTTCGCATCCGGCTGATTGTAGGCTTGCAGCCGTTCGATCCGCAAAGGGCCACCCATTTGGGCTTAGGACTATTGAATTTACACAAAAGTCTTCATTAACGGGTGTTAACGGGTTTTACGAGTTCACCCAAAATGACCCGTTAACCACCCAACCCCGTTTATCACTCACCCAAATATTAATTTTAACGGGTCGGGTTGAAAATGCCAGGTCTAATCATGGTCATTGATTATCATGAGAACTTGCATGTTTTAATCATTTTATGATAAGCTTTTTCATTAGTAATGCTACTTTTTGTGCATTAGGTTTATGGGACCATTAGTATTCGGAGATTATCCACAAAGTATGAGAGAGAGGGTGAAGGAGAGGCTTCCCACTTTTCTTGCAGAAGAGAAAGTTCTGCTCAATGGGAGTTTAGGGTTCGTTGGAATCAATTATTATACATCTACGTATGCCAAACATAAGGCTCCTCCTCCAGGTGAGGCGTTGCGTTATTCCTTCGATATATGGGCCGAAAACAATAGGTAAGATACCTTGCTGTCTGGAACCATATATAGGACCAAAAAAAATATCAAACATAAAGTATAGTTTTAATATTCCGTCTTGTTGATCGTGTTTTGATTGTTGCAGCCATCAAAGATGAAGAATTTCTTAGTGTGGTAAGAAACTTTTTGAAATTTTATGTTCTTGCTAGTTTTGTAAGAAATGAAACATCGGTGTTGTCGGCTTTGTTTGAGGAAAATGCGTGGTTAATTTTTTCCTTACGGTGCAGACCGATAGTCATTGGCCGGAAGGGCTTCAGAAGCTGTTGGAGTACGTAAAGGATAAATATCAAAATCCAAAAGTCTACATTTCTGAAAATGGTTCGATTTCTTAAGCTTCAGTTAATCCTTGCACATATACTTTTAATCAAAATATGCATAACAAAAATAAAAACGGATGACATTGTATCTTCTACACCTTTTGTTTGTAGGAATTTCTGATCAAAAGGACAATGGCTCTCCACTTGAAGTACTTTTAAAGAATGATGAGGATCCATATCGAATTTCCTTTGTTACTCGTCACCTGTATCGGATCAATAAGGCAATTAAGTAAGTGATGATGTATATTTTTATTTGACAGTGAAAACAAATATAATGTCTCATTCTTCACAAAAATTATTGCAGGAATGGAGTGAATGTCAAAGGGTACTTTTATTGGGCTCTGTTCGACGATTTTGAATGGGGTATGGGGTTCGAACGTTATGGGATTTACTTTGTTGATTTCAATAACTACACGTGCTACCCCAAGCTCTCTGTTAAGTGGTTACGAGCTTTCCTTCAAGGCTGAGGTCCTGCTATATAGGTAGTGCCTGAGTGATCGGTTGTTCAAACTTAATATCGTTGAATCCCGTTGAATCCCACATCAGCCGCAGAAAGAGAGAAATAATAGTTTAAATATTCTAACCTCACTTCAACTAATACCAAGGCCTTTTGTGATAAAACCTCACACCTGACGAATTGTGTAATTTGTAATTATCAAATTGAGGATAATATCGGTGTTGTTGGAAGTGGGCCTTAGGCCCGTCTTTCTGATAATTCTACAAATATTTCATGTAAAGCCAATATCCCTTCGGTTTTCTTGTTGTAATTCATGTTTCTCAAGAAAAAATAAGGCTCTTGATTTGTGCTTCAAGGACGATAATGAAAACATTGTGAAAGATAATGTGCAATACATAACTATCTGTGCTTCCCCATCTTACAATCTCATCTCTAATAACTAGCCCAAAATTTCAGTAAGCGCACAGTTGTTGATTAGCTGTGGGTTGTCGCTATTCTATTTTATTGGAAACGCCATGTCCTGGCGCGCCATGGCTGTAATCGGTAGCATGTTTGTATATTGATCAAAATTGAATCAAACAATTAGTACTGTGAGATTTATATATTCGGGTACTATTCCGCCTCCACTGTGAAATATTGGTTTGTTTTTCCTTCCAGAGTCTCCACAGTGGCTGGTGAGTGTCTCGTAAAAGTAAAACAAATCAGAAGTCAGTAACCAGCCATAATTGGTAAACATAAATACCTTGAAGCAGCTCTGCAGCGTCTTGGAGAAACGAATGCGTGCACATCTCAAGAAGCATCTGATATCATGATAATATTTGGGTTGGAAAATCTTCTTTTGGCATGCAATCAAGAAATAAGATCATTTTTTATGGTACATTGACAGGATTATACAGAAATATTAGAGCAAAACTCGGAAAGAATGCTTGACATGTTTCGGAAGAGATATGCTCACTCACTCAACTCACTGTAAGCAGACTAAATAGAAATATCATTACAAAATTCATGATCACCTGCTGTTCTGTTTCACCTTCCGCTTTCTTTATGTTAACAGACAAATAGGGAAAATGAACGCTTCTAAGGTGAGTATGGCAAAGTGTATAACTTTTTTTGGTGTTGTGCATCAATAATTTCACAAGTTAAGTCACCAAATATTTGCCGGAATGTGCTTGGCATTCAGCGTTCACGTTTCTCCCCAAATCATATTCTGAAACATGATCTGTTATTCTGCTGTTTGCAAATAGATATGATCATTCGTTGAATTATATCTTCGTCATGGCAAGACTTCCATCTGTGGAAGAAGCTTTACTCCAGTTTTTGTGCCCATCGGCTTCTTGGGAAAACAAATATATTCCCATTTTTCAAACGAGTTGGAAGTTATTTGAGCAACATTCTGTTTTCAGGTTTCTCCCTAAACAAAACTTTGATACTTCTTGTTTTTTGTTGCCGTTTGCTTCTTACACTAATGTTCATTATTTGAAGTACACCATTTTTGGTTATGGAAGGGCCTCCACCTGTGGATGAAAGTCACTGCAGTTCTTGTGTTCGTCGGCATGTTGGGTTATGCTGTGTCAGAGGTAGGTAGCTTTACTATTTATTATGCGAAATTTGGCAGAAAAAGATCAACTTCTGTTATGAAGATTTGATGAGTTTTTGTTTTCAGATATTCCCAGTTAATATTGAAGGCTAGGCCGGGAGTTTGTTGAGTTTGATAAATTGGTCTTATTCTTGGATAACAACGCACACCTTCAATTACATGATGGACTGGAGCTCAGCAGGTTGTCAAAAATTTCCTCTCTTCTTTCCCCTTTTTTTATTTCTGCAATATTTACTCATCACCGGTCATAATTCTACTTCAGAAACGTTTTTCTTCTACTCGGCCTGTGCCAGTTAAATGTTGTATTTGTGGCAAAAGGGTGAACTCTAGAAGAAATAGAAGCATCGCTTGTTTAATAAGATGAATACACAACGGTCTGCCATCAGTAACCCTTGGAGTTTGTAGACTTACTTGCACTGGCGCAGCTGCAGCTTCAAGTACAAGAATAATTACCAATGTGAGTGCAGTTGAAAGGGGATGAATTTGGGAATGTAATTTGAATTTTCAATGTAATTTAAAGTTCAAAGTGTAATTTGAGTATTAATACGGAATTTCAAAAGGGTTAACATCTCGTGTTATGACGAGAAATTTCGCTAGTGACACAAAATATGACATCAATTAAAAGACAGATAATGTTGGAGTCATCAAGCAAATTTGACACTTAATGCAACTAGAGAGAGAAAAAGATTACTATTATGAAATTCAACAGTTCAAAATGAAAGAGAATGGTAATCTCTAAGAGATACGATTGAGCGAGATCAATGGAGGAACCAGTCTACAATGAACGAGACGTTCGGGATCAAAGGTATTTCAAACTATATGCAGACACGGTCAGTGCTGCAAGAACAGATAATGAGGTTTTCATTCGCTTGGCATCAGGTTGCTTTCCCCACAACATATAGTTTTCAGCTTCACTGCACTGTGGATGGAATCAGAACTTGCCTGTTCCAGGCTTCCAGCATCTGCCTGGAACTTTGAGGGAAAGACATAGCCGAAAACTCGTTTACACCCCTTCAATGGTTCCTCCTTCAGAGTTTTCCACACCTACAAGAATAATATCGATTGATAAGAACACATATTAATAACCCTTGTAGATATCAAACGGTGATATTAGTTGTCCTGAAAAAAAATACTTTACCTTCCTTACATCTCTCTGATTGTCCTCCAATTCCTACCAGACAGTTCACAAGAACACATTAGCACACAACAAAATCAAAATAATTTATCACCACAGATCTGGAAGTGGTGGAACTTACATGAAAGAACGTAGTATGGATTTGTTTCAGAACATCAAGAACAGCCGCAAGAGCTCCTTCAGTCTCACTTTCATCACTCTTCAACTCAGAAAGGGACTTACATTTGAACCCACCTTTGTCACTACTCGATCTAAAGAAATGTTATTTTTCGATCAATATTAGATTGCTGTTGTGCTTTGTACAATATTGGATATTTAGCAACATTGATATAACCCTAGTTTAAAAAAGATAAACAACAGATTACTGATGGCGAGTTATCTATAAACAGAGCACTTCTAATTTGCAGTACATCAAGGAATCAAGTACCTACATCTTCTTTATCATCAAGGATCAAAACAGCATTCTCTTGTCCAAGCACAATATCTAGACCTTTTTGATGTCTTTTGATGGCATCCTCACATGATATCACTCTATCACTGAAGTACTCTTTCCTGGGATCAAGCAGCTTCGCCATTTCGAGTGCATAGACTCGTGTACCCATTGTATATATGTACATCTCAAACATTTCACTGGCCTCCTTTAAAAATGTGCTAACAAAAGGCCTCAACTTGATCATCCTATCCACAATGTCCACTTTGAATAGGCTACCTTTTGAAACATCTACAAGTATCATATTGCAACCAAAATGAGTAAATTCAGCGAAAAAAGACGAAGTTATAAAATTAAGTAAATCTAGTCAACCTTATACACCTTGCAAGGAATCAGCTGTTTGGCTCTTTAAGTATTCTTCTTCTGCTGTCATACGATCCAATTTGCTGGAATTTAGCAGTGTGTGATCTAAATCAAGTACCAAGTAAAGCTTCTTGTGGCGCAACGCCCTCTTGAGGTCTATTTTGCGTAACCGATCAACTTCATCATTGTGAAGCCTTAATCCCTGCAGAAGCAAGCATTTCAGCACCATATTAATTCCAATTTACATCAACATACGTATAAGAATATGGAAATAGATTGAGTAGTCATTGATCCATATATCCAGGAATTTTTTTCCCGCATGTGGGCTGTAACTTTAAGCTATAGAATTTGTTAAAAAGACATCAACTCCGTTACAAATAAAACACGATAGTAAGACAATAAGAGTGAAGTTCATTAATTAGAAAGAAAGATGCATGTAGTCAGGGGGATGTATCTAGATTACCTCACAAAATGCATACAAAAAACATACAACCGAAGAAAAACGACAACAAAGCAAGAAAGTATGCAAAAGCAAATACATCATAAACTAGCTACTTAAGTTGTGCCGTACAATTCTTTAAAACATAAAGCTCAGCAGTTAAAAAAATAGATTGGTGAGTCATCCATATATACATAACATAACTAGAAAATGGGTATATGAAACTGTTAAGAGTCTTTTCAGGTAGATTATCTTTCCCGTCAGGGATTGGTAATTCATCAATCACAAGCCAAAACTGGCAGGAATTAAGCAAAGACATTCAAAAATCTTTATTCATGAATTACATTTTAATTACCTTGTGTATATACCCAAATACCACACCAAACTTGTCATTCACCGGCTTCCCACAAACTATACACATATGTTCGAATGAACCAGGATGAGCACAAACATCCTTCTTTCCCGATGATTCTGCACATAGTAACAAGTGAAGTCAACATCTTGCGCATTCAAAAGGAAACTTTTTTCCCAATTAAAGTATCAACTCCTTAGTAATGTTAAAAATGAGGTCTCGCGACTAACTAATCTTTCTTATGATCACAAAATATCACCCACACTACGAAACACTTTCTTGCAGTGCAAGGAATTGGAAGGGCATAGCTCATAAAACGAACCAAAACACTATCCCAACTTAGTCAAAATTAGTTAGTTACTTGAGTTTTCTTCTACAAGTACTTGTGCGCCTGACCCTTGAGTTTCCTCTATGCTTCCGAGATCCTCCTCCTTACACCGCTTTCTACTGCAAATTAACTATCATAAGTTATATCTAAGAAAAGTGGAACATCAAAGAAACTTTGTTCCAGTTACAGGAACTGTGAATCTAATAGAACTCATGCTACATTAACAATAAAAGAAAAAGAAAAGGATTTATGTACCTTCTATCACTGTCGACTTCACTATCATCGTCAAATTCTTCATCCAGCGAGGACTTGCAGGAAGAACTAGAAGAGTGTTGTGGCAAATTGGCAAGACTCATCTAAATTATTCATGCACAAGAAAGAATTTGACATATGCTAATCTCAAGGTGGATTGATAAGGGTGAAAAGATATGAATGCAACATAATATACACATAAAGTACGAAAAATCACTAAACCGAAAATATCAAGGTTTCTACAAGTAGGAATCAGCAATTTAAACAGTTTTATAGACTGTCGCAGCCGATCAGTGATCAATATATAGTTAATTGTTGGCAAATACACACCAAGAATCAGGGCAATAAAATCGCACCTTTTGTGAGGTTTATTGGGTACCGACGGCAGGAAGAATAGTGGGGAAGAGTATAAAGATCGATTTCTGGAAAACTGGTTTTTGATAGTTTTCTTCTTCTGTTTCTTGCGTATAATCTGCAGACAAGAGTCCTACTCTTACTAGAGAAATACCTTAATGATAATTACCAACAAACATTAACTCTGCAGTTTTTCTAGTAAATCTAATACACCTTAATTATGTTTTTTAATATAAGGGATATACTACCTTAATTATATTTTAATTTCCAAAATTAACTCTCAACAAGGTTTAGGGTTTATATACTACCTTAATTGTATTGTAATTTCCAAAAAGTAACTCACAACAAGGTCAACAAGGTTTAGGGTTTATATACTACCTTAATTGTATTGAAATTTCCAAAATTAACTCACAACAAGGTTTAGGGTTGCGAAACTGTTGGATGCGCTGATGGTGGTAGATTTATGATTTAGGGTTTATGGTTTGCTAAACTGTTTGATGGGCCATGGTGGTAGGGCACAGGGTTTGGTTCCCCCGCTTCTCCATCTTTTTCAATTTTCTTGTTATATTTAAACCGTTGGATTTGGACTGAGTCTGCAGTCAGCACAAATCAACCGTATTGGTCAAAAATACCCTTGCTTTCAGTAGGTGGTAGGGTAATCCTATGTCGATCTATTTCTCTCTCTCTCTCTTTCTGGAATCTAACCCTCTATCAGGCTATCTAAAACAGAAATAACTAAACATAATCCTATAAAAAAAATTATTTACAGAAGCCTCACAACATATGATTCAAATTCATTTTTTGTAAAAATCAAACATAAGACCTCTCACTTGAAGAGGAATACAACTAGACTGCACTAAACCATAGTACTAAGTTTTCTACAAGAAATTATTTTTAAATGAACAATGTCAGGCCATACTTATATACCATCTCCAACTAAAAGAACTAAACATAGCCCCCTAAATAACTTATTCGTTTTAAGTTTATACTTTGTTGGTAATTTAGTTAAACTACCGTTTGATGTTTTCAAATTAATTTAACTGTTAAATTTGAAATCAATTATTGTAACTGATGAGCTGACCTGCAAAAAATGAGCTACATTTGGCCAGCTTGATGCCCTTTTGGCCAAATAATAATATGGTGGGCTTCATAAAATTATAGACTATTCAGTGGTTGGAGATGAGTTTTTGGGCAAATCAGCTTTTATTTTTATTTTTTATTTTTTGAACAAAATCAGGCCATTTTTTTAATTTTAGACCTTTAGCCTTGTCTATTGGAGATGGCCTCATGAACATTTTTAACCAAGTTTCTTTGTCCATGCCTACAATAAGGATTAACGGATATTTAGCAACATTGGTAACCAGTATTTGAACTCTTCTGTTGTGGCCAATTCTTACACTCGAGGTCACATGTTTAATTTCCCGTCCCCAACAGAAGAGG